TTTAATTACAATTTGGTCATTTTCCAAATTGTAGTTTATATTACCTGAAAGTACAGTTTTTCAGATTTGATGCCAATTTTTTTGTACATATGTAGATGATTTTTGTGTTAGTGTGTTAAGATTCAACTTCACAAGAGGTTTAATTAACAAGCTTCTTAGGGAAAAAACACTTTTTATTTCATGCTTTAAATAAATTTTAAATAAATGGCATCGTGAAATCACATTCTTGGTGCTTATTGGGACGGTGGAGTGATCCAATGAATCCTATTACATAAAACGATGTAGACTGCAGGGAACACGAGAGAGTAACATGTTTTTAGTCATCGTTTTCACCCCTCATTTATTTTAGAAAATGGGTAGTAATTAGATGTCGTGGAGCATTTTCTTTTCTTACAGAAAATTTCTTGATTGGATTTATCTTGCTCACTCTTTCACATTTAGTTTGCACAGCAAATAGTCCTTGTTTTGAAATGGTTTGATTACAGTAATTTATCCCTTATTTCTTCCTTCCCAATTCTACCATTTAAACACTGTCTTCTCCTTCAGTGAAAAATAAAGATGTCAGAATGAACTTGGTAGGATAAAGTCATTTTTTTAATCCAACTGTCAACCCTAATGTTACCACTCTGCTCTTGGTTTTTGCCGTGTGTGTGTGTGTGTGTGTGTGTGTGTGTGTGTGTGTGTGTGTGAAGTTGGAGCTTTATTTTTCTAGTAGGAATTCAATATGCTGAAAATATTTTAAAGTTTGTATTTTGCCTTTTTAAGAAAAAAATGGTAAAATTGTATTATCAGCTAGAAAAGTGGAAGCTTCTTAGACTTAAAATTTTTCAACTTCACTTTAGCCCTAATTAAATAGATCCTGTCTTCCACTGATGCCCCATGTAGTGTTTTCCTTCCAGTGTAACGTAATCTGGCAGTGTATATTAGAGTTTTGGAAACTACCTTGGAATAGAGTCCTCTTTTAAAATAATTGTACAGTTCTTCCAAAGTGACAATTACTGTTAGCTTTTTCCTAGGTCTGTAATAAATGTTGCGTTAAAAAATTTTTTTTGCATTTTTAAGAGCAGTCTAAGAATGTCATCCTTTGAGCTTGGTTTAAAATGAAGATATCAGCAGATAATATATTCGAAGAATACTTATAGTGGCTCCAAATGAGACAGTCTAAGTCATTCAATAGTAATAGCTACCAATTGATTTTTTGTTTCGTATTCACCTATAGCAGTTTGTTAGACGTTGTGATATAAATGTGGAGTTGAAACCATCCCAACGGTTACGTAGAAGGGCATGCAGAACAGGGGATAGCGAAGTAATGACCAGAGAGGTAGCAGAGAAACCAGGAGAATATTGTGACAAAAAGCCAAGGAAGAATTTCAAAAATCAGGGAGATGTAAAAGAATTGTAGGTTGGCACTGGATGCAAGCATAGCTGGAGACCTTAAATCTGTCTTAGCTACAGTCTGCGCAAGTATGTTTATTACTTTTGTCAGCAATTATCCACCCGAGTAATGATCACATAAGGGAGAATAAGGGTGGGACTTTTTAGTTTCAGACTGGATGGATAAGAAAAGTAAGGCATAGCCTAGCAAAAAATCCTGAATTCTAAGATTAAAGGAAAACCTGTATGTGATTCCTAAGAGAAAAAACAAGAAAAAGAGAAAATAATCAGATTGGCATTGGACTTGTACTAAACTGGAAGCTAGAAGGTGGTAGAATCTCCAGATGATAAGTAAAACAAGTGAAGAAGTCTGCAGCCTTATGTTCTATATCCAGTTCTATACCTATCAAAGAAATGAAAGATACTTGAGGATAAGAATAAAACAGTGTACCACCTACCTAAAGAAAATACTTGAGAGAAGAGAAAATAGCAAAGGTATGAGAGGAGAGAGGTCAAGATGGAAAAAAGAAAGAAGCAGGTGAGCAAGGAAACACAGATGCAGTTAAATATATGAGGGGAGACTCAGAATGTATAATCTAAATTCAAAATAAGGTTTCTTGAAACAGAAAATGCATAACACGATAATTTTAGTAAGATTGCAGAACAAAACATTTTTCAAAGTCTTGTTGATGTGGGTGAGGAATAGATAAATAGAGCATTTTCTTAAAAGAAAGACTCTTTTACATTTCCATCTTATATGACTAAGCGTTTAACAGGATAAAGAAGAACATTTTAAGTAATAAGTGGCACATAGTTATAAGGAAGGTGATAGTTATAAACCTAAATGCACCAGACAACATAGCAACGAAAATATATATAAAAAAGCTATCAGAAATGCAACAAGAACTTGAAGTGGAAACAGTTAATATACTTGTCTGAAGGGGATAAACTAGTAGAAAAAATGCTGTAAGGGCAGAGGAACTGAGTCAGTAAACTTGAATATAAATACACATTCATCCCTCAAAGAATAAATTTTTTATATGCTTATGCAACATTAACAAAAATCAAACATGTGATTGGCCACAAGAAAAACCTTACCAAATTTGGGAAAAATAGATTTTCTAGACCATATTCTCTGGTCATAAACCAATAAAATTATGAATATATAATAATATATAACTAAAACTTTGCCTTAAATTTGAGAAACACATTCTTTGAGGTTGCTAAGATTAAAGAAGGGATAAAAATTAAAACCACAAACTATCTAGAAAGCATTGAAAAAATACTCTTCATTCCCAAACTCTGCTACGCAGTGTAACCCATACTCAGAGGAAAAATTGTAACCTTAAATTCTTTCTTAACCAAAGGAGAAATACAGAAAATAAAAGAACTAGGTAATCATCTTAAGAAATTCAAACAACAATAAAATATTAATTCAAAGAAAATAGGGAAGAGGAATTAAGATAAAAGCTTAAATCATGGACCTAGAATATAAGAAAAAAGGTACACACAAATTTCTGGGCTAACCTTTGTGCAAACTCAATCATTTGTGTGTTAGGGGATCAGTATGCATGGAAATGGAGGTGGCATATAAATTCCCTAAAGTGATTTTGGCCCTCATCATTTCTCCTTATTCCAGTTATTTACCTACCTCATGTTTTTGTCTGGAATCTAAGTTACACCACATGGAGAGCCAGATATGCAGGGTTCTGTTATAGCGTAATTATAAGGCTGGAGGGGTTTTGTAGTCATGCTACCTCTAGTTGAAATTCCTACTCTAATGAAAATTTCCCTGGAAGGAGATTTGTGAATATTTGGAATGCTAAATTACTGAGAAAAATCTCATTTAAAAAACGACAAGACAGATCTTAAAACGTAACTAGATTATAGTTTTATGAATTACTGGGAATTATGTAACAGGTACATATAAATATCTTGTGTTTAATTTTTTAAATTCTCCTTTATTCATCATACCACTCTAGAAGACTGTCATTGTCAATAGCAGTTCTGAACCTCGGAGGCTTAATAAAGTAAGACTTGTTGCAATCCCAAAGTAACAGTTTTGTCATTTAATATTATAAATGTGGATAATCTTTATATTACAGCTGGTATTTACATCTTATTGTAGAGGGAAAACCTTTGCCTCACAGCATTGTCACATTAAAGATTATTTTTGACTCAGTTTGAATTGATGGCAGTAGTACATTTGAACTATTTGTTTTGTGGAGGGGATAAATGAAAGGGAGGAGAATTATGGAGGACTATCATTGTTTTTCTAAAAATTGGTAAAAGCAGACTGATAAGAAATCAGACGATATCTTTCTTTAGGCTTTTACTGCTAATTAGAAGGTGATGTGTTGTGTGTGTTCAGGGGTACATGTGTGTGTTTTACAGAAGAAATGCAAGTTTAGCGTCATATCTTGTTTTTGATAAAATATGGGAAGGAGGAAGGGGGGCCTTAAACTCTAGAAAATATCTAACAGTTTGTAGCATATGTGTTTACCTATTTTTCAATTTTATGATAACAAGCTAAGCTTTCACCTGATTATTACATTGATTTTCCTCTTTTCTTTCAGCCGAAGAGCTGGAGTAATCATTTTACTTTACTATTCATTTTTCTTTTGGTAGTATGAGTCTAAACAGGCCAATCACAGTGGCTCACGTCTGTTATCCCAGCACTTTGGGAGGCTGAGGCAGGTGGATCTCTTAGGTCAGGAGTTTGAGACCTGCCTGGCCAACATGGTGAAACCCTGTCTCTACTAAAAGTACAAAATTAGCTGGGCGTGGTGACTTATGCCTGTAATTCCAGCTACTTGGGAGGCTGAGGCAAGAGAATCACTTAAACCTGGGAGGGGGAGGATGTAGTGAGCCGAGATCGTGCCATTGCACTCCAGCCTGGGCAACGAGAGTAAATCTCCATCTCACAAAAAAAAAAAAAAAAAAAAAAAAAAAAATTAGCAAGGCACGGTGGCATCACTCTGGGGTGGGAAGATCACTTGAGCCCAGCCATTCGGGACCAACTTGTGCAAAA